ATGGACTCAGCAGACCACGGTTTGGAGTGCCGTCAGAGTGTCCAGAAGGCAGACCGTGACCTGATGGACATCCCTCTCAGCCCTCGTAGGAGGCAGAGGCAGGGTCAGACTTTTTCTACCATTTGAGCTACTTTTTGGCGTGAACAACCCTAATGGTTCCCAAAAAGGCGGAAACGACCCTTTATTGATGTCTTATGCAAATTTGAAATGAGGGACACTTGGGACTTTTTCTACCATTTGAGCTGTTTTTTGGCGGGGGTTCCAAAAAAGGAGGGAACGAGACACATTTGGGTTTCTGTTGGGTCCCATGAAACCAATTTCTCATGTCAGATTTTCATGACAATGAGATATGGTGGACAAGAGATGACACCCTTTCAGAATCAGTTGGATTTAAATCAATACATTGTTCCTGAAGAAAGATAGCTTTCCAAAGAGTCTGCAGACTTCTCACGGAATATGCTGAATCACGTCATCAAAGTGAACGTTTGATACCAAATTCAGGCAGTTTAAATAATTTTCTTAGAAGTTATTAGCACTTAAATGATTGCCAGTTGGGTATCTTTTTCCATTCATTTATCCTAACAAAATGTCCCATTCAAATGTATGCAAGCTGTCCTGCTTCCCACGAAGGCATGCTAGGTGGTAGAGTGCCAACCAACATGAATGTGTCACATTTGGGCCTGGCTACAACAAACCGAGACAACATCGGCTATCGTCTGACGATGACTTGGATTTAGAATGGTTTAAAATGAGTTTGTAAACTGGCAACATGTGAAACAATCTGAATGCACACATCGTCTCGGAACTCCAACTCCAGTCTCACATGTCAAGTTGCTAATCAGACAGTAAACAATGAGCAGCACTTGGAAAAGGACGTCTTGGCCCAGAGATCCGTTGGCTGCAACAAAAACCCAAAATATAATATTTACCTCAGAAGCTTATCCGTCGTCAACCGATAGCCGATGGGTTCAGAGATTGTGATGTATCACTAATGATACAGATTGATTTAATCATGAAGTAATGATGGATACTAGTAAAAGTTTGTCCACTAGGGTAAAATGGTAACTAATGAAAGGATCAATCGTGTTTTGATGCATTTCTAGTTATGGACTAAACTATGAATCATTACTAGTTTTATGCCGTTCTCCGGCTGGTTCAATATGATCGATTCCTAGATATTCATGATCTAGACATTACCTAATGATTCTTTAATATAGAATCTCCTTGTCTGTTCTCAAGTAACTCATCATTATCAACTATATTTTCTTATTCATGCTTTTCTCATTTCTCAACGAACTTATCCTTAGCTACTCTATCAAATTAGATTTTAAGTTGCTCTGTAATGGTCGCCTATGTCTGTGTACAGGAGTTGTGATTGTAGAACATGTTTGTTTTTATTTTCCTTTGCATATTTAAAGTGCTGTAGACTTGTGTCATCAGTGGCCTGCAATGTAAACACGGGTTATGAACAGGGTTTTTTATTATTGTTGCTATTATATATATTTCCCTGACTTGTATTAAATGGGTCAGGGGGGACTGATGTGATGGGAACATGGAGTGCGCAGACAGGAGAAGCAGTCAGCCTTTAGTGGAGAAGCATTTTCAGGCCACTCTACAGATTATTGAACAACGGCGACACTTCCACCTGGTGATAATATTATTGTTGGCCTAAACTGAGTATTTATTCATCATCAGACTATTTAAATTTACGCATCTTTTGTTCGCTGTATGCCATCCAGGTCCGACTGGGTTTTTAGTGTCTGTACACACCAGGTATCAGATCCGGTTCCAGTTCCCTCAGATTTAGCGTATGTACTTTTTCCCTTACGTTTTTAAGTCAGGGGAATTGTTATAACTGATTGTCAAATGGTTCACTAGTTCCTCATTCGTTCCTCAAAAGTTTGTGCCCTTTGTTGTTAAGTGTTACCTCTTTGGATGTTGCTTTCCTTACTTAACAATTATCTATGCAGTCCTATGTCAGCTGGGGATGAACTATGGCCAATTGTGGATTGACTCAAATTTGACACAATCATCAGGGGCCCAACCAAAGATGTACTTCCTGTGCCACCTCAGGGAGTTCTACCTGCCTCAGGAGCTGCTGATTCAGTTCTACACTGACTGCAATAATCCAGTCTGTTCTCTGCACATCCATCACTGAACATGTACTGCACACATATGAATGCATGCACTGTGCAGAACCACTTAATGCTTATACATAAAGTAAATTATTGCATTAGTCATTCAACATTTATTCCAGCACGTTTTGCACTATTACTGATTAATAATAATACATTTTATTTATAGAGCGCTTTTCAGAATACTCAAAGACACTTTACATTAAAATCATCATATATATATATATATATATAAAAGCTATACACTGAAAACATAAAACACACAATATTGGTCACACATTAAAAGCAGTTCTGAAAAGGTGAGTTTTGATTTGGGATTTGAACATGGAAAGATCGGTGCAGTCTCGGATGTGTTTGGGGAGAGAGTTCCAGAGGGAGGGGGCGGAGAAGGCTCTGTCAGCCCATGTCCGGTGCTTGGTCGTGAGTGGAAGGGACAGGAGGTTGGCATCAGAGGAGCGGAGCCGACAGGATGGAGTGTGGTGGTGAAGTGGGTCGGTGAGGTAGGAGGGGGCCTGATTATGGAGGGCTTTGTGAGTGAGGAGAAGGACTTTATATTGGATCCGTTGTGGGACAGGGAGCCAGTGGAGATTCTGGAGAACAGGGGTGATGTGATCACGGGAGCGGGAGAGCAGGCGAGCAGCAGAGTTCTGGATATCCTAGAGTTTATTTAGGATTTTGGATGATGTGCCATGAAGAATACTGTTGTAGTAGTCGGTTCTGGAGGTAATGAAGGCGTGGATCAGAGTTTCAGCAGTAGATAAGGAGAGTGATGGGCGGAGACGGGCTATGTTTTTTTTAAGTGAAAAAAGGCAGTTCTGGTGATTTGGTTGACATGGTGTTCAAAGGAGAGGTTGTTGTCAAACATGACTGAGGTTGCGGATGTGTGGGGAGGGAGACAGAGTGGAGTTGTCGATGGTGAGGCAGAAGTTGTGACTGGTTTTGGTGAGGGATTTGGGACCGATGATGATCATGTCAGATTTATCACAGTTGAGTTTGAGGAAGTTGGTTTGCATCCATGATTTAATGTCAGTGAGGCAGTTGGTGAGAGTGGAGTGAGTAGCAGTGGTGATGGCTTTTGTGGAGATGTAGAGCTGGACATCATCGGCATAGCAGTGGAAGTGGAGACCATGTTGACGTATGATATTACCAAGAGGGAGCAAGTATATTACATGATATTATTACAGTAGATATAGATTAGTGTCAATCTTTTACAACTGGCAACAGAGTACACTGAACAGGCAAAGGGCATAGACCTACTGATAAAATAGTCCTGTGTTTCATGTTGAGCATATTAGTGTTGTTGGTCGGTAGAAAGGGAGGGCGTGCATGTGTCATTTTCTGTGTTTGTTTTGGGAAATGAGCCAAACACTTGTAAACAATTAGGAAAACTGTAATAGCTATTGTGTACATACGAGCTGGTGAAAAAGTACATACACGTATATGTTTGCTTATTTTTGTGCAACGTTGTTGTCCTTGTTTTGGCTGGATGTCTAAAAGCATCTTCCTGAACCCTGTTCTTGAAGCTGTCTGTAATTACATTGAGAGTCACTATAATCTGGAGACAAACTCATTATGCGTAACAATCTTGGCCAGTAAAGTCAATCCTCATTCTCTTAGCTGTATTTCAAGGATTAAAATATGACCCCTTGACAAAAACAAACTTCTATAAAGTTACAAACTTGTATAAAGTTACTCTGTGGTGTAGAGATGACACAAGATTATGGAAAAAAGAAAAGTAATCCTAAAATGCACAATTCATTAATTAATGGATGGAGTGGCGCCTCCCACTGGAGGTTTTCTGGGCACGCCCAACTGGTAGAGACCCCGGGGAAGACCCTATATCTCCCAGCTGGACTGGGAACGCCTCGGGATCCCCCAGAATGAGCTGCAAAATGTTGCGGGGGAGAGGGAAGTCTGGGTCAGCCTGCTTGGCCTGCTGCCACCGTGACCCGATCCCAGATAAGCGGAAGACAATGGATGGTTGAAGGGAAATGATACACTATACTCAAGAGTTCCAATTCTAAATGTAAGAATCTAGTATTCCACAGTGGTTGCTACCTATACAATTTAGCAGAAGCTGAATAAAATAGTCGTTTTAGATAGTGCTCTATCGATTAATATTGAGAGATAGCGCTGAATAAGAATAAACTTGGGAAAATTCATAATGCCCCCCCTCCAAAAAAAACAAAACCGATATGCTTTACAGGTTTGTTTTTAGGTTTTATTTTAATTCTTAGGAAAATAATCCACAATTGTGCTTATAAAATATAAACATTTATGTTCCGCCAATACAGACATATACAGTTTGAAGTGAAGTATAGAAACGTACATTAGACTGTTAAACAGTCCAGTATTTGCCCAACATTTGACAAAAAGTAGCCTCTGGGCAAAGGGTACTTGGTAATATAATCCACAGTAGAGTGCTGCAGGGATGATGCGTTCTTGTGGGCCAACCTGGAAGCTAGCATTGCACTGGTGACCTCCACAAAAAGTGCTTCCATTGGTTTTTAGATTTGTGCAGAAAATAATCTTTGTGGCAAACAAACATGTATGTTACTTGTTTAGCAAGATAATCTTCACATATGAACAGCACTTTTTCCAGTCACATGACCACCACAGACCCAAGTAGTCTCATTTAGCCACTTGTACAGTGGCCCTGAGGGTCAAAACACGGCATTCCAGAAAACACAAGGAAAAGGCACGTATTGGAAAATGATTCCTTGTCTCCGATTGCATTGCTTCAAACAGAAGTACTTTTTGAATTTCTTCGTCTTTTGGATTTCCAGCAGACTGGATGCCTTGTGGCACATTGCTGCCTCTCACAGGTTGGGATGATAAGATAAAATAAAAGATTATTCATCCCGAGGGAAATCACCAAGGAGCAGCTGCAATTCCACTTCTTTGTATTTGCAGTCTTACTGTATCTTATCCACTGATCAGTGAGAGGCAGCAATGAGCCACAAAGCATTGAGTGTAAGAGGAAGAATAAGAGGAAGTACTTCTGTTGACTGACGGTGCATGCAAGCAGCAACGAGGAATCATTATCCAATACGTACCCACCTTTTCCTGTTTGAGTCCCGCCTTAATGTCTTGTTTTCTCTTTTGCTGCTGTGGCGTTTTCTCAAATGTCGTCGTGTTTTCTAAAGTTCAAAAGATCCATTGACTTCGAGACAAGGGAACTGGAAGTGCAAAAGCACATACTAATTTCTGGGTTTCAGGATTCCTTTCTGCAGCCCTCTATGATGAAAAGGATCGTCTCGTCCTTCAAAGTGCTCCAAGTGCTAGGAGACCAGCAGCTGCAGGAGTCTGGCCACCACCACAATGTTGAGGCTGTTTCCTAGAACTCTGTACTGCTGCTTGGTGGTGATCTGCTCCGGAAAGGCTGCAAAACACATTCAAATAAAAATAAGTAACAAAATGGCATGTTTTATATCACATTGCAGCTAGAATTATAAAAAAAAAAAAAAGCAATAGAAATGTTTGTCCCCGTCTCACAGTCAGACTAATAGACGTGGTAGGTTATTGGGGCATCTTTTAAAATCTAATTGTGCTTGTGGAAACACCAAAGTCATCCAACTTTAAACTCCTGCCTGCTCTACTATGCTCAATGTTTGCTATATGACACATGTAGCTGTGCCTACGGTGTACAATTGTGATAGAATCCGAATTGTAAGTCGCTTTGGATAAAAGCGTCTGCTAAATGACTGTAATGTAATACAGTCGAACCATATTAATGTTACCTGGCTTAGGTGAACAGAAATTCTTCCAAAATAGCTTTCTGTATTGAATTTAGCTTTATCTCGTCAGACAATATACCAGCTCAAACATTTTCTGTTTTTATAAGGCCTGATAGCAGGAGATGCTGCAGCGTCACAACCAGAAACCATGTTATTGCCAAGTACATTACACATGCAAGGAAGTTGGTTTGGTGATTGGTGCGTGAAAATAAACACACTGCAATAGCAAAAGACAATTTATGAATAGAAAATCATAAAAATTAACAGTAAAATATGATAAACAAACAAATGATTTGTTGGTCTGCTCCACACACAGTTACTGGTCGGAGAGCGCGCACTGTGCCTCCTGCACGTTGGCCTGTGGAGGGATGTAAACTCCGACCAGTATGAAAAAGAGTTTACAGCAGCCACTGCAGTCTCTCTCTCTCTCTCTCTCTCTCTCTCTCTCTCTCTCTCTCTCTCTGTGTGTGCAATTTGAATGCAGTTTTTACAAACATTAACGAAAAAAGTGATTACATTGTATAGCATCAAGGGCTGACGAATAGACTTACAGAAGCTTTGAGGGAAGCCCATGATGTTGGCAACTTCTCTTGGAGTAAAATAACGCAACTTGAGTTTCATCAGCTGCTGGAGTTTCTCATCTTCCGAGAACTGGTCCAGACCTCGAAACACATTCTCCATCTGCAGAGCACACAAAGCAAAAGCCTTTGACACAAATGTGCAAATTTATTTAAGAAAAAGAATTAGGGAGTGAGGTGGTTTGTTGAACATGCTTTCTGGCTGACATTGAACCACGGTGGAGCCGTGACTGAGCGGGAGTGGGTTTAAAGGGGCATGTGCCTAATTCCAAATGAAGACATTGAACGCAGACACAGTCCTCGGCTGTTGTGTCTTGTTGATGCCTGGACTGAAATCAAAACCTACCTCTGTTTCCATGCAGCACTGCAGTACTGAGCCGGTTCCCTCCACATACCGGCCGTAGCTATGGATAAAACACATTAACACAATCAAATAACAGCATTTCTAAGTGATCGTTTTAACGTTCAACCGACCACAGACAGAAACAACAGGACTGACAGACTCTATCAACCAGGTTATCAAATACCCCATGTACACTCTTGGGCCTCTCAGATTACAGATGACCTGACCCAGGACCCATATCGGATTTTACACTCAGTCATGTTTAACTGGCACGGGTCTGTGTGTCTGATTGTCGATGTCTAATACCAAAGTGTATACGAGCAGACAGCTCTGATCACATGGTATGCCATTTTCAGTCATACGCCAAAATAGTTTTAGTAAATAAAGACTATATGCTATTAAATGGCACTGAGGCAACTTTTTAAGAATTTAAATCACGAGTATTAAAGCTACTATGAGCTGATGCTGGGCATGGAGCGAGACCTCAGGGAGAGATCCCTCTCCCAGGGTTAGCCCCAACGCTGGCAACCGCCCAGAAGGCAAACTTGACAAACTAGCTAGAAACTGGATTTTACAAATGGTCCAACCAAAAAATAGAAAAGCCCAGTTTTGCCAACTCTTTTCTATTGAAAGTAACTAGCAATATTACAATACATCCAAAATGATCATTAAAAACAGAACAAAGAACATGGCTATTTTCAGACTCTGGTAACGTGCAGAATGTGCACCGGCAGACAGGCAGGTAGCTCGTCCAATCGTTACATTTGGGCCGAATGGAATGATTGGACGAGCTTATTACAGTCGACAGGCACAGATACTGGATTTATTTTACCAGAGCATTGATTCATTGATTGCTGTCGGGATGTAATGAAAATTCAAATCTAACAAACGTGTTTTTGAAGAAGACTTTAAGTGACAGGCCGCTCCGCTGAGTTTGTTTTTTATTTTTAATATTTCTTTTAACTGTTAAACTGATAGCGTGGTTAAATGGTTGATTATTAATATCCCTACTGCAAACGATACTCTGAATCAGGAAATGACAAATCTGAATATTAAAATGTGAGCAGCAACTTTCTGTTACAGTCAGATCTGATGAAAATAAATCATGTCTACAATTCATCAAAAAGAAAATTGATGCATCCCCTACCTAGTTGCATTTATTATTTCATTCCTGTGAAGCTAGTGACAGTTACATGAAGAGTACTCACCCTTTAGTAAAGCACACAGACCTCCTGCATGTGGGCTGAACAATGTCCAGGAGCAGAGCATATCGCAGCAGCGTCTTGGGAGGAAGAAGATAGTGTTCCATGTTTACTTCCATCAGCGGTTCCAGGAAGTCTTGGACCTGCCTGACGGACAGATCTCTGTTCTGACTCATCTTTCTCTGGGCATCCATTTTTGTCTCTTGTTTGTAGAGGACATGACCCTCTTCTGGCTGGCAGGTATCTGGGCGGAGAGGACTCGAGACTGTGTGCTGCTCAGGAGAATCACTCTCAGCAGGGTGTGGGAAGGCATCTAAAATCTAAGATCACATACTTTATCAAAAGCCTTATATAAACACGACTAGTATTGTGAGGTCCTAACATCATCAAATACCAAACAAACTTGGTTTCATGAAGGACCAAGACACTTGGTCTATGTTCATGGTCAATTCATGGAGGTTCTGAAGGTTGAGTTGTGAACTACCTGAAGGTATAGTACATGCCACAAGTATGTGCAGTATTTTGTCCCCCCCCCCCCTCCAGCCTGCTCTCTCATTGGTTCTTGCATCTCAGTCTCAGCTTAAAAATCAATATATGAGCTGGGTTGAGTGTCGTAACAACAACCATGTAACAAAATCAGTGTGAGTGTTTTTTAAAGTCAATCTTAATACAGTACTTCTTAGTTGGTCGCTCTGTTTGTTCCCCCTGTGGCTACACAGAGGTCCTTTCTAAATGCAATTTCAATTCGAGTGACGGGGACAAATTCCACAGGCCTTGTTCTGTGCAAAAATGAGGTCTTAAGTTCAGTTGGAATGACATGTGGAAGATAATAGGGTCTATTAATGTCTACAACTGGTCAGCAAGACTCACCTTTGAACTCTGGGTGCTTTTGTTTTCTGTTGACAGCTTAGCAGTCAGGAAATAACGCAGTCTTGAATTTGGGATCCCAACCTGGATTTATGAATAGAACGGTGATATGAATACAACGTATTTCATGGAATTAGTCACACAGTGTGTCTTTCTTACACTGGTGGGTGAGACCATGATCTCCTGGAAAGTGTATCCGCATTCCATGAGTGTCTTCACCAAGAGCTCCCTAGAATAGAAGAATAGAAGTATAATATGAGAAATGGTCCTGAGACGCTGGTAAATTCTGGCCAACAGCTGATGACTGCCTTGCTGAACTGCAGGCCAGCACCATCTTTCTACACCGAGTTTGTCTTTGATAATTGCCATCAATTACATGTTTCATTTATTTTCATTATACTAGATGTCATTCTTGCCACAGAAATGCTAGAGGGCTTTTGATTTGAAATGGAAGGAGGAAGTATTAAATCTGTATTTATACTTTTTCTCCCATGTCTGTGACATATTCCAAAGACATAGACATTAAGACTGTAGTTTCTTCCTCATATGGAAAACATAGGCGAAACGCTGAATCTCTAGATGAGCTACAGCCAAGCCGTGTGGCTGCTCTAACCTGTTAACATGGCCACAGAATGATAATAAGAGGTTTCGCAACACTAGCGCTGCTCTAGTAGGCGATATGGCCTGGGCATAAGGGTCCAAATGACGTTGGAAATGAGATTGTCAGCATCTCTGCCTCACGCCGTTGTCTTAGTGCACCTCGTACGATGCTATAAAAACTTTATCCCTCATCCTTTTTCTGATGGCGGCTATCTAATAAAGACATAAAATGTCCAATATTACAAAAGGACAACTTGTACTTTGGATGTAATACATAAGTGCTGCATAGATGTATATTTCTGATCTGCAATCATTAGAGGACACATTTTGATCAGTATCGAGCGGCTGGGGGTTGGTAGATTTTGCGGATGGACCTGATTTGCAGTGGGGGTTTAAGCATTTTAAATGTGCAACTGTATCTATCTATCTAGAGATATATATATATATATATATATATATATATATATATATATATATA